ATAATGCTTAAAAATGCATTAAATAAATAAAAATTACAAAATTTGGACAATTCAAAAGTTGCCTAGACTTCTAATAATCTTTAAAAGAATTTCATCACTTTCGTTATCATACATTTTCACAAAGAATATAATATTTGATCATCATCAGCTGATTAATACTCCCACTGCTGGAGACGATGATATAAAAAATTTTTGATCACCCAACCCATAACCGGAAAGACAGACCGAACGCATTGATAACTACGTCATCGAGCTCCTCTCTTTATAATCTTGAATTAAAACCTTTATTACTTTAGGTTACTATAAATAGCGTCTCTATTTATAGCATAAATCGTTTTGATACTTTAATTCCCAAAGCATTAATTCATCAGTCTAATTTTAAAGATTTTTGTATACCTTGTATTACAGATTGCCATTCACATTATTGAACGTACATACGATGGCTACAGCTGATAAGATACGTCCGTATCTACTATGACATAGCCCAGTTACGTTGTCTCTATTACAAAAGTGACGCGGTGTGTTGTTTGTATCCATTTATTAACGATCGTATAACACATAAGAACCAGTTTTCTATGACAATAATATTTACACGGAAGTAAGTTATGGATGTTTATGGTTTAACCTTGGAAATTAAGAGTAATTCCTTTTACTACACTGTATACTATACTCGTTTATGAACTTAGTTTTATGTTATAATTTCTGTTCTCGTTCAGGTACAAAATATATTTTTTTACTTACATTTTTGAATACCTACCTAGTTTTACACATTCAAAATTATTAGGGGCGCATTAAATGTTTTTTTTTTGTGAACGTTTGGTTAAGTTATATTACAGAGTTATTAAAATGCAACCTTTTCTTTATTAATTAAAATATGTACACACTTTTTATTTATCTATTAATAATCAATTTGAAACAAAGAAGGTTCCATCACAGCCAAACTAGAGACAATATATGCAAAATCATTTTCCTACATTAACTCGGCCTTCGATCAACCTTCAGTGTGAGATGTTTGGATCTTAAAGATGGCGATAACTTAAAACCCGTGTGCAAGCTACTACAGCTACGGCGGTCATTAAAATACAAGTAAATATTACGATAGCAGTTTTCGCTATTTGTTTATTTTCAGTTTACAAATAATTTTCAATATTCACTTACATGCTTAAAACAATTAAAAAGAAATATACCAAAAAGGAAGTTAATTAGAAATATAAGTATCATTATTTTCCAATAAACAATAATCAGCAAATAAACTACATGGAATTCAAGCATTAACTTTGCTTTAGTTATAAAAAGAACAAGTAATAAGTCTCGAGTTATATAAATGTCAAATAGTTTATGGAAAACCAACGATTATTAGTTAAAGTTTAATGTATTACTTATTAAGTTGTATAATCAACTTCAACAGTCATTACTCCAGTTCCAACATGTAGTTTACAAACTTCTAAAGTGGTAAAGTTAGATTTCAGGTTACATAGTCAACGTAATGATATACGTGACGGTTTCTTCAAATGAGTCACCATTCGATCAACACGAGGTCGGTTAGGTGATCAACAATATTGCTATATCTTAGGGTTGAGTTACATAAAGTTGCACGTTTTCGCCTTTATCCTTTTCTGTCTTGTATTCCATGCTGATTTTGCTCAACCCTAATCTTACGTATACGTTAATTTACTTAAAGTGTCCTCACTAGTAAAAGTATCATAAAATCTTATTAAATATATTTATTTTTATGAATATAATCAGCATGTTTGGTAAATATGCTGTTTTTCTACAATTTCTAGAAAAATTCCAGTCTTCTGGTCCAAAAAGTCCAGTTTCGCGGGCAGCAAAAGATTACAAATTGGAATCTCATCTCGGGCACTGTTGATGTTTTCAGAATAAGGTAAAAATTATTGCAAGCGAATATAATTACATAATATTGTTTAATTTCTTAAATTCTATTAGAACTTGTTGCTGTTGGTTTCTGCAAATAAAGAATCAAATTCTTCATCACTTTTCTCTTCGGAGCCCCAGATATAGTTGGTCCCAGCCAACATTATTAATAGTAGTTAATGTCTTCACCGTTGCACAATCGTACTGAATTTGAACTGCCTCGTTTATTTACGTACAGGCAGCTTCACTACCCCAGCACTGAGAAATCATTTTAGCAATTGAGATCGAGAGTGTCGACCAAAATATTACTAGGAAGCACCGTTATAATGTTTAGATAACTCACAAACTGCATCTTTGTATTATTAGTATACTTAACTCTTCAGTAGAATCAATAGATATTACATATACTCATCTCTAACATACATGAGTAACTATGTATAAAACACTTATGAATCAACCCTCAAACGATAAAGGAAAACTTGATATTATACCCGGGAGTTGTAAGCAATACGAAGATAAATGGAAATGTACAATGTAACAGCAAACTACATCCAATAACAATATCTGAAATGTCATGTGAACTATCTCCACTAGTTTCTTTAGCTCGACCATAATCACAAACGGTCATAGCCGTCGTCAACATGCCATTAGAACCAGTCCCGAGCGTTAACAGGCTTAAATAGTTGAGGGTAATGACACGGCAGATGTATTATATTTGCGTAAACTGCCTCTTGTAATTCAGATAGAGAGATAAGTGTTTATGATTATTTAGTAGCTTCACTAGCAACAATATCATGATTCACTATTACAGTTCCGAATCCGTTAGGATTGGTTACAAGATTACTATTATGTAGGTACAAAAGCAATAACGTTTCCAATATGAAATTAAGACGATGAAAGTCTATCACGCGAACGGTACGTGCCAAGAGATTCAGCTAGGGATTACTTTGAACCCAACTTCACTCAATCATTATAATGACTTCCATCAATACTCAAGACCCCGCCATTTCTATTGTACAATTGTAAAAATTAATAAGTAAAGTGTTCTCAAACACCATTCGGGAATTGAGCATTGATAATAAAGACATTTCGAGATACCTATGACTTTGATGAGCAATTTGAATAGTAATTCGAGATTCAAGCTTACTTATAACAATGAAGTTACTTTAAAATTATGGCTAATAGCAGTCAGAACAAAGTTTTGTCTTTTTGATTGGCATTACTATTAGATTTTCTCTACTCATTCAGTCTATCAACATGAAGAATGATCACACTAACTTCTGACACACAATTCGCAGCGTAAAATAAACGTACTGATTTCCAATTGATTGATTCTGCGGCGTTCCCAATGAGAAAGTACTGCACGATTACAGCCCCAACAAATGTGGCAGAATCCACTATTGTGCTAAGAAAGCTAGTTTCCGTCGCACAAGTGTATGCGATTGTATTCCGTGACAGGCTCAACGGTTCTGGCAGTGGACCTTGACTCGTCACAGTTATTGTCACGTTTCAGTTGAATACCGCTAGCAAAGTTCATTGGTTTAATTTTTATTTGCTAATTTGTTTGACGAATAAATTTCACCTCTAACAGCTTAAAGTATTTTAAAATTTTATTAACTATATAAATACATTTCGTATAATTAAATATGAATAGAATGTTATTTTGATTTCGCTATGCGATTTTTTTTCAGGTGGAAACATTTTACCGGTTGGTTAGGTATGAAACTTGAGCTCTCCTTAATTAAGAACCTTCTATGAAACATTATCTTCTATCGTACAAATCCTCTGAGTCTAATAAGTACCTATGATCTACTCTATAATGAGTTTTATTTCTTAGTTTCAGTTGCTAATTCAAGCTTTTAGCATTAAGACATTGTATAGTAAAACATGAAAAAAATATTAAATTTTAACTTTTTATAGGTTTTCCTATAATCTGCAGATATAGGTCTGTTTTTCTTTATTTATTTTTTTATTTATGGCTTCGTTTCAAAGTTCGGAGGAATGGTCAATATACTTAAATATGTAACACCAAATAAGTTATCTATCACAAATGCTCACAATAAACCATTGCACTTGTTTTTTCACATAATTACGCACATATAGTATACCAAACTTTTATTATTTTCTAATTTACGCTTCGAAACAGGCCTTAAACTATGAAATTCATTTAGTCAACTTATATGAGAATTTATTTTTGAGTTATGGATTATCATAATAGTACAAAATTTCAATTCCATCGGTAATTTCGAATAAAATTTGATGTGATAGGCTAACGGACAGGCAGACATTCAAGTAATCTTATTAGATGATAATAAAACATTAAACGGTCACAACAAATTTATTTTTCTTATCTTTATTAAAATCAAATTCTTTTATGAAGTAAATTTTTCTTTCTACCACCCGTCAAGTAGCGAATTTTTTTTTTATATTTTTAAAATACGAACAAATGGTAGAATAGTTGTATAGAGTATTTAGCTTATGAACATCAGTGAAAGCGATTTCTTGAAGTCGTGATGAAATAAAACTGTAATTGTACTTTAGCCCGTTAGTCGTGGCTCATGGTTATACTGCAATCAGTAACACCAATCTCTATCCGAACTGAGCCTACGTCGTGAAATATGACTCTTTTACCTTGTGATTCCATCTCAATACGAAATAATTAAAAATAAAGGAGGCTTGTATCTGTGTCCTATCAGTGCAGAGATTATAATATGATGCTAGTGATTAATTAAACTTGTAAAAATTACCAGTTTTCAATAAAAATATTTATTAATATATAGCTCTTAACAAATTTTATCCTATAAAAAAATTTAAGCTTATTATAATATATTAAATTATATCTACCTACGTTAACTACACTGAATCTCAATTGGAATATGTGAACATTATCATAAATTATGATGATTTCAAAATATAACCGTACTTGTATGAATCACACAACACATTCGCTACCAACATAAAAAACATAACCTACCTAACCTTACTTTTGATTCTATAAACTTTTTACAAATGTTAAATTTAATATCATGTTTAAACTAAATAGATTTTTATGTTTTATAATAAAAAAAATAAATTCCAGTAAGATATTCTCAATCGGAAAGAATGCTTACAAGTTTCAAAGTTACCTGTTATTACTGCAAACAAAACCGCCAAAGCCACCACACCTGTCGATCCCGCCGGTTGATGCCTCATTTTGTCTCTTTTTTACACGTCTCGTATACGTCCTCACAGTGAAAAAAAAAAGAAAACAGAAATTTAAACTCCCAACGGATTTGTCTTTTGTTTCAAAACAATAAACAATTGCACTCGCGTTCTTGTCACACCTTTGCCGTATCGTTAGATAAAGATAAATCTAATCACAATCACGTAGTCTTTAGCGTGTAAAATCGTTTTCATCGAAAGTTTTGATCACTATTTTCGTAAAGTGCATCGTGATGTCTCGTTAATACGGTTGGATTATTCGAAACAAAAGCGTGAAACTTGTTTCGTGGAGCGAACTCGACGACGAAAGCGGCGAGCGTACGTCCACCCACACCGAGCGAAAAGCGGTACTGTCGCACGCGATGGAAGCGACGCACCGTCGACGCGGCAAAGTGCGGAACTAGAGCGTTGGCGTCAAACGCGTCAGTCTACAGCTACACTTGAACGATGTTATTGCTAGGATCGACATTAGTTGTTCGCAGTTTAATAGGTCCCTACTGGATTTGAGTTAGTTTACCATGCGCCCGAGTAAATTGAAAAATATTTTGGAGCAATTTGTTTGTAGCAAAACTGTAACTTGTATACTTTATTAATTGGAATCATGATGAAAATTATTTAGTTTCCAGGACAACTCACCGGTTTTGTATTTTTGCTGGTAGTTTACTAATCACATTTTTTTTTTAAATTAGTTAGGTAATCGTCTTTGTAGTTATGAAGAATATATTTTATTGTATTATTTTTATGTCGGTTTAATTTTATATTTTTAATAACAACAGTTTTGTTTACTTAGACGACTGTAGTAAAGTCGTTGACTCCGATGATATATTCGTTTACTTTGGAACCAATTTTTATATTATCTATTTTTTTTTTTTTTTTTTTTTTTTTTTTTTTATTGTCCAAAAATATACAATTTTTTTTGCATGCAAAAGTACATCATAAGCGCACAAAAGCCCTTTCGGGTTTATCAGTGCCCGTGGAGTTCAAATACAACGTTCCTAAAATAATTACAATAATTTATCAAGGTATATTAGATAGTTACATAACGTTATTTTTATTATTTAACAATGCAATTGACATAAGGTATTTCAAGCAAGTTAATCTTACTTAGCAATAGATGAGAACATAATTTTATATAATGTAATCATTCTTACTTTTATCAAGAAAGTATTTTTTCAGATATTTTTTATAATTACGCTTATTCAGATAATAAGATACAGATTCATCAGTCATTTCATTCAATATCGCCGGTAACAAATATTTCCAATTTCTTTTTCCATAATAGTTATTAAATTTAGGTAACACATATTTCTTTGATTTTTGTAACTTTCTCAATGTCTTTGGTCGAGTATAGGCAATCAATTCATTGCTATTGTGATGTTCATCAATCAATATGGCGAGCCTCACACTATTATATATTGGCAAGACCCCACAATAATTAAATAAATCTAAATCATTTAAAAAGTTTGTTTTTATTTTTTTCGGAACTATTAACTTTAGTAATTTTAACTGTAGGTTATAGATATTAATCAAGTGTGTTTTGAACGTTCTTCCATAACTACTTAACCCATATCCGATCACACTGTTAGCCAAGGCCATATATAAAGTTCTCAAGGTCATGTAAGGTATTTTGTATCGTAGAATAGATAGTTTAGATGTTATAGCCCTTAATTTCTCACATACATATCCGATATGTGGAACCCAGTTAAATCTGTTATCAATTATAAGACCGATATACATATGTTGAGTTACGAATTCAATTTTTGGACATGAACATTGCATATTTACCTTATGAAGGCATGAGTGTCCATGGGCGATAATAGATGGTGTAAATATTTTTCTGAAAAATGGCGAGTGGATATGAATGGCTTTTGTTTTTTGCGCGTTTATTACAAGACCGGTGTCATGAGCCCATTTGCATATCAGGTTGAAGCTGCGTTGCGATAGACGCTCCGCTATAGCGAGATCTGAATGGGCCGTTACTATGCAAGTATCGTCAGCAAACTGGTATACAGACCCCCTCTCAAGCAAATTACTTAAGTCATTAACATATAGTAAGTATTCAGTGGGTCCGATGATCGAACCCTGGGCAGTGCCCACCTCTGTTGGTATTTTGTGACTGTAAGCACCATCAATCTTTACAAATGTACATCTGTTATGATGGTATTTCTTAAACCATTCTAGTAGCGGGCCTTGTATACCATTCTGTTCAAGCTTTGAATACAATACATCATAATTCAAAAGATCAAAAGCCTTACTGAAGTCGATGAAGACTGCAATCACGTGACGTTTGTTATTCATGTGACTACAGATTTCATCCGTGAATTTACAAAGTAATTTGGTGGTGCTTTTATTTCTTTGAAAGCCAAATTGATTTGCATCAATTATATTATGGGCGCTCAAAAACGTATTTATCTCATTAGCTAAGTATCTCTCAACAATCTTATCCACACATGATAATATGGTTATGGGTCTATAATTATTATAATTCTTATGACAACCTTTTTTATAAATAGGACGAACAGTGCCGATTTTTAATTTGTCTGGATATGAAGATGTTGCAATACATCTGTTTATTAGATGTGTTAATACGGGTGCTATCAAATCGACAATGTTTCTAAGGTCGGCAGCACGAATACCATCATACCCTGGACTTTTATTATAGTTTAATTGTTCGATTATTTTATGGATGTCCGCAATGACAGCCGGCCTCATACGCATTGTCACATTTGGATAGTTTATATATCTCGTTGGACAAAGAATACGATTCGTACACGGATCTATCAAATTTTTAACATTTTGATGAAACTCATTTGCAAAATTTTCCGCTAAAATAGTTGCAGGTAGATTAAAATATTTTAATAATAATTCGTCGACCGACGAGGATATTTTGCCACACAATTTGTTTATTATATTCCAGATTAGTTTTGTGTTGCTGAAGTTTTCATTAATTTGTTTTTTGTAGTAAGAATTTTTAGTATAATTTATATACTTATTCGTTTTGTTTCTATATATATTAAATAATAATCTTTTCTCTAAGTTATTTTCGTCTTTTTTCCATATTCTAAATAACTCAGCCCTTTTTTTACACATGTGTTTTATTCTACTATTTACCCATTCGCATTGTTTATTTTTTTTATTGTTATTACAAACTATCTGTTCTATCTTTGCACTATTGTAAATAGAATCAAACTTATTATACATAAAGCCGAGTATGTCATCAGGCTGCTCGTACGCAAGGGCCTCATTCCAGTCCACTCGTCTCAATTCTTTTAAAACCTGTTTGTTATTCATTCTAGTTACGGTGCGCTTCGAGCCGCACGCCGCGCCTGCACCCACAAATACACAGCCAACTATATAATGATCAGCTGGCGCTTGCGTCGTCACTGCCGCCGTATATATGTTATGACCGCTCATGTTTCGTGTGAATATGTGATCAATACACGATTTAGTAATAGTATTACCTTTTTTTTCGATTCGAGTGTATTGTGAAATTCCACATTCCAGACCCATTCCGCATAAGGAATTCAAATAATATGATTTCATGCGAGACTTTAACTTAATGTTTATATTGGTATCACCAATGACAATCAGATCGCCACTATTACGAAATGAATTTAAATTCCTATTTAACTCTTCTACGAAACGAGTTTGGCATGTGTCCGGGGGTCTGTACACTACACATATATTAAAGTTGTATTTCTGTTTAAATGAAATTTCACCCATTATTGTTTCATAATTATTAGTAATTTTTTTATTTAATTCGAATGTTAATCTGTTATGTATATACAGTAATACACCGCCACCCTTTTTATAGTTTCTTAGATTACTATACATTGAATACCCGTTGAGTTGAAACAATTTTTTGCAGTGATTGGAAATATTTGCCTCCGTTATCGCGATAATATCGATATTTATATTGCTAGATGTCACTATATATTCAATTTGAGAAAAATACAGAATCATTGATCTGATATTGACATGTAAAAAAGAAATATTAGTTCTATTCGATGGTAAAGTATTTATAAAATCATTCCATGTATCATGAGTGGATTCAATTATATTATTTGCGATATCAAACATACTTAATTATTAAGATTATATTAGGCATGCATTAACTTTATAATAATAATAGGTAAGGAATTTAAATTAATCAATTAAGACAAAAATAAAAACCGTAGAAGTAGCCAGTGTAGAAGACTCAGATTTAGTTGATGTCTATCATTTTACCGCTGAAGCCGTCCATTTTTCAATATCCTTTATAGACCTGATGACATGAATTTTACCCTTTTCACCCTCTCTAATAAGTACATTACCTCTCTTGCACCAAACAAATTGGACTATTTTATTATTTTTAAGTTCAGTTTTTGCCTTCCATAGTAAGAAGGCGGTAGCTGGAGTTAATGCTTCGCGTAGGTAAATTTTTCTATTTTCTTCTGCATCACATTCTATGTCAATGTCTTTTCCTGTGATAGATATTTTTTTGGCTGCTTCTAACCATTCGTCGCGCATTCCTTCCCGTAGGGCAACTATAATAGTGGAGTGGTTTCTTATCTTAGAGGCGGCAGACTTATTTTCTTTTCTATACATCTTGACCACATCCCCAGGTCTTTTCTGTATTTTGGTAGCGATTTTGGACAATATTTCATGAAGATTTTCATTGTTTTCTTTTGGTACTCCATGTATCTCGATATTATTGCATAGGAGATGTTGTTCTAGGTTATTAATTTTTTGTTCCAATACCTCACATCTTAAATTTATGTTTTTATATTTATTATGCAGGTCATTATTATGGTTGGATATGCTCTTGACTTTATTTTCATATTCTGTGATTTTTATTGTAAAGTCGTCAATTTGATCCGAGTAGAATTTGAGTGAACGTTGAAGTTCATCTCGAATGGTCTCTCTTATTTCACGACGTAATTCCGCTAGCATACCGTGATTACTTATTTGTACTTGCCTCGTCGACGGGCTGCCTATGTCAGACTGATCCTCATCGTCTATAATCGCTGATACACGTTTTGGTTTTATGCTTCCGCTGCACGTACGGCATTTCCAATCGACACAATCCGTTGATACTAAGGCTTTGAACTGATCATCATTTAATAATGCACATGAAGCATGCATCCATCTACCGCATTTGTCACACTGCAATCCCGGTGACTTCTTCGTTACGATCTTTGAGCACTTTGAACATTTCGCCATTTCTTTTTTTTTATGTATCTACCGTTACTAGAACGAACCTTATCACGGCACACGCGAGAGACGCGACTACTGCCGACTACTGCCGACGACCGAATCTATTAAAAAGGACCATCAGAAGGAGGTCTGCAATAAATTAGGATGATGATTAATTGTTGTTTGTTTGTACA